GTGTGTGTGGTGTGTGTATGTGTGTGTGGTGTGGTGTATGTGTGCTGTGTGTTAGTGTGTGGTGTGTGTGTGGCAGTTGTCAGTGTGTGTGGTGTGCGTAATGTGCGTGTGCAAGCCTGCCTGCGGTCTCATGAGAGTCGTCCTAGCGCACCTGCATAACGCCCACACCCTCTCCTGTCAGCTCTCTCTTCTGCCCCGTGCGCCGCGGAGACCTCCAGAGCGTGGCCCCGGAACGCTGGCTGGCTCTGTTTCTTTCTCATTTGTCCTCTCTGGAGACTATTTGAAGATGGAGCAGAGCAGGCCCGTGTTTGAGTGTGCCCAGCGGTGACTTCTGACTAGAACCGGTGGAAGGCTAGAGCGCTCCGGAGCCCGAGCAGGGGGCTGCAGCAGCCATGCCTGGAAGGGGGACTGCCCTTTGGAAACGGTTACCAGGGTCCTGGTGTATCCGTGGGCGAGATGGAGAGCAGACAGGAAGCTGATACGGGGTTCACGAGGTTGGCACTGGGAGCGGTAAGGGCTCGGAGCAGCCCATGGTTAGATAAAGAGAGGGTTTAGGTCATTCTGTTGGGAGTTCTGTGCAGAAGTAACTGGGGTGGGACAGGGCTTGGAAGATGAGGCAGTATCCAGGAGATTAAATACGAATTCACGTCTTCACTCAAACAGCTCACGCATTCGCACCTTTTGTCTGGAGCTTTCTTCGACTTAGTGGATCACGGCCCCTTGTGCAACGTATTACTTTCTTGATGACCTTCCTTCTCCCATTTCACAGTGGTTTCAGGAGCACCCTGCCCTTACTTTGAAAGGTACTAAGTATGTATCTCATGTACAAAATAGAAGAGAATCAGGGTGTTCCTGACCCCAGAATGGAGTCCGAGCCGCGCACCCCACCTCCCCTCTGATGTTGTGTTCTGATACACCTCGTTCCACACAGTGGCACAAGCAAAGCAGTCATTTTGGCTTATTCAGTTTTATATTCAGTGGAACTTACTGAGCCCCGACTGTGTGCCCTACCTTGTGTTCAGTTCTGGGGCTCAAAACACAAGGGGACAGGGTCCACTTTGGAGACCCTCTCCGTCTCTTGCCCTCGCTAGACACTGGCTTGAAAGCTGCCTCTCGCATTCCTGACTCTTTCTCTCTCCCAGAAAGGGTGGTGGGGAATCTCCCTCTGCCCTATCTCTCAGCACTGGGACCCGTAATTCTCAGGTAGTGACTTGGGGGCGAAGGTTTCCATCAGGATTACCTGGTGAACGTGTTAGAAAGGTAGATTCCAGTGTGACCCAGCCTTAGAGAGCTTGGCTCCTGCCCTTGAGGCCTTCTAGTTTGGGTTGGGGGTGAGGTGGAGAGGGCGATGTCTGAAACAAGGTCAGTGAGCAAATAAGTAGAATAAAAAGCAGATAAGATATATTTCCAGAAGCAGGGACAGCAGCATCAGCTTGGAGAAAAAAATAGGCATCTAGTCTACGGCCTCTGGGTACCTGTGGGGAGCCCCAGAGAGAGGTCTCTGTAGCAACAGTGTTCTGGTGTCTTGTGTGGGCTCTGAAGGCAAACTCCCAGGTTTGAATTGTGACCCCACCATTAATCAACCCTAACCTGGGCACGTCCCCAGAAGTCCTCTTTGGGGCGGTTTCCTCATCTGTAAATGGGATAATGCCTTCAACAAGGTCCAGCCGGCCCAGCACGTACAGCAGCGTTGGGTACATAGCAAGTGCTCGCTAAGTGTCTGTTTCTCAGGCCGCACAGCCTTCTCTACACCATAGAGTGTTTCCGGAACCCATCAAGGTCTGCGTTCTGCGTCTGGCCCCTGGGGTCGGACCTTCTGGCTTTCGTGCCCCTGCAGCTCTAAGCAGGCTCTGCATTTGCCTCCCACCCAGCGGATTAGGCTGATGCGTGGGCTCTAAAGCTCTGCAGCCTTCTCTCCAGAAGCTCCTGGGGCAGGCGGGCTGCGTGCGAACTGAGCGCTGTCTTTCTCTCCCACCAGGGATGGTGCCTTGAGCCGCAGACCCGGACCCGGACCTGGACCCGGACCCGCAGAAGGCTCTCGGACGCCCTTCGCTGCATGCCAGCCCGGCCAGGAAAGGGAGTGGACTCCGCACACCCAGCGCTTGCTGCCGAGCCTCTTCTGCGCAGGAACGCACGCTCCTGCCTCGACCAAGGCTTCCAGAACCTCTGAGGCCGGAGGCCCCCAGCTCTACCTCATGCGTGGGGGACCCTGCTAGCCATGGCCCTCCTCCTAGGCTTCCTGCTGCTGCTGGAGTTGTGCTCGGATACCTCCGCCCTGGGGCCGCTGTCATCCACAAAGGGTTCTGATGTTTTGGAATTTGAATTGCCTGCCACGAACTATGAGACCAAGCACTCTTACAAAGCTGGGCCCATTGGCGTTCTCTTTAAAATGGTGCACGTCTTCCTCCGCGTGGTGCAGCCCAATGCTTTCCCCGAAGGTAAGTGCCCATTGCGGGGAAAAGATGGAGTTTGTCCCCAGACACACTCACCTGCGCACACGGGATATTGTTGGTTAATCAAGATACAGTAAATATGTTTTATATTCAGTATTTTATTTATATATTGTTTTTTTAAAGCCTAAGATTCAAAGTGATTGGAGTTTACAGGAGCAGAAAGTATTGAGACAGAAGTTAGGAACACTGGTGCCAGGTTGAATAGGTTGTCAAGGAATGTGATTATAAGAAGTGAAATCAAACGACGTTGCTATGCTGGTTTTCCAATTCTTGATCTTTTTTCCCCCTCCCTCTTTTTTTTTTTTTTTTTTCCTGGTGAGAGCAATGAATTACGCTCAAGTGCAAACCAAAGGTAAAAATTAGGGTAAAAATGCAAATTCTCTCAGGTGAGTTAATAATCACCTCTGGTGGCTAGGCCAGGACTTACAGATTGACCCCTCCTTGACCCACCACAAAGTACATTGCTGAGGACAAGGGCAGGCCTGACCCGCCGTGTTTACCTGGCTAACTCTTTGCTTCAGTTCTAAGAATTTAAGTGTAAGGAAAGGAGGGATGGCCCCTTGTGGGAACTCTGATGGCATGGTGCCTTACCCATGGTGAGTATTGCTACTGTTCGCCCTAATCCCTGTCCTGGGAAGTCTGCGGGTATGTGTTTTCAGGAAAGAGATTATGAAAATTTAAATGGTCTGTGGGAAGTATCTGCTATTAGGGTTTGGCAGTCTAAATTTTTATTGACTTCATGTTAGACCTATTCTAGGCTTGTTCTTTAAACTGTGAAGATTTGAATGCTCTTACTGATATACAAACGTATCAATTTACAATATACAAATGATATATACAAATTATAAAATTTGTACATATATATACAAATTTTAAATTTTACAATATACAATATACAAATTATCAAATACAAATACAAGTTATACAATATACAAATTATAAAATTTATAGTAATCCTTATCATCTTCTTTAGCTGGTCAGCTATTATTCATAAGAGGATTATGTGTCTGTGTGTGTGTGAGAGAGAGAGAGAGACAGAGACAGAGACAGAAAGAGAGGGAGAGAGAATGTATTTAGTGAGCTTTAATACTTGTTTATGTTATGGGCAGTTTATAGATTTTCATTATGATACATTTATATTGAAATTGTCTTACATTTTTTTGTCTCAGATTAAGCAGTCAAAAGTTTGAAGTGTAGTTCTCAATTTTTTGTTAATTTAAATTTCAATTCAATGAAACAAATCACTCTGAACCCTGTTGCTCTTGAAGAGAACCTGAACAAATACTACGTACTGTTTATGTCCCTGCTTGAAAGACTAAATTTGAAAATCCAAAAGATGGAAGTAGAAAATATTTCACTTATTAATGTTGGATACAAGTTCACTATTCTCAATAGATACCTCTTCCTTTATTTGTAGACTTGGTGTAAATATTATTGAATAATCAAATACCTACTAGTGTTTTTTTATTAGGTCTTAGTTTCTTTGTTTTTTTTTTTTATGCAAAAGGAATAGAATTCAGTTGTATTATATGCATTTATAATGGCATCTTCAAAAAGATTGTAAAGCATCCATGTGTTATTAAGGCATATCATGTAATTAGTTAATCCTGTAATCTCTTCCCATATGTTGCTTTATTTTGCTCCCTCTAGGTTTCAGAGGAAGGCTTCCTCACACTTATTTTAGAAAGGAAAGCAATATTTTTAAAAGTTTGCATTCAAACGATCAGATCAAAGGCATCCTGCATCCAACACATTCTCAGGTTTTGAACTCCACCGCCATTATTAGTCTAGAAGGAGGTGTCTGAAGAATTTAAATCCTGCTGTAATCTGAGGGTGTTAGCACTGCTTGTCCCTTGACCTTCATCAATACTTACTACTTTGGAAAAAGAAATTCCCGAAGGTCTCAACAGCAGACCAGAGCAGAGTAGCACTACCCCTTGCAAAAAAAAATCATTAGGTTGCTTAAAGAATATAATATTGAATTTCATAGGGGACATTGTGGAGTGTTGGTTTTTTCCCACCATCCCATTTTTTAAATTCTTTCATCCAGTTACTAGATCTCATAATGGTCTCAAAGTACCCTTAGGTGCTTTCCCACATAAAGGACATATACCAGACAGGGTTTTCCTGCTGGGACCATTGCGTTTCATGAGCTCCAGATCATAGGCAGACATCTTCATAATTGAAGATGCAAAAACAACAACAATGAGAGAGAGAGAGAGAAATGGAATCCTATTCATTAGCTTAACTAACTTAATACAGTAACCTAAACAGATGACTTCTGGACAAGTCCTCTATGAAGTAACAACTTCACAGAGGGAATGATCCCCAAGGTATATTCTTTCATTTGAAAGAGTAGAGTGTTTTGAGTGCAAAGTCCCAGTCCAGTGCAGGAGTGGAAGAGAAAGGGAGGACCCTCGAGCCTGGGCTCCCTTTTCTCATGCTATTTGACTGGGGAGTTTTCCACTTTATATCCTGTGTCTGAGCCAAACAGCATAACGCGTTTTGCATTTCATAAACACCTATCCCCCGTCTGAAGCTGCAAGAGGGATGCCGAGTCCCGGGCTTAGACACACTGAGAAGAGAGTGATGGCTTACATTCGGGAGGGGTCGCTTGTCTATTCATTCAACCTAGAAAGGGTGTTGATGGCAGGATGACCAGGGGGAGTTGAGGGAAGGGTGCTTCCGGCACAGGGAACCACGTGCCCAGAGAGTGGAGGAGACAGTGGTTCATAGTGGACCCATGAGATGGGTATTCATGGAATAAGTCTGCTAAGGGTCAGACCCTGACTGGCAGGCTGGAGAGTTTTATAGAGAGAAGGAAGCTGAGGCAACATGAGCAAAGTTTCATTCATTTCTTGAGAGCCCCTGCTTTCTGTGCTGTACCTGCTGGGAGCTGGGAGCCAGGGTGGAAGGGGAATTGGGTTTTGGGAAAAGAATCCGATAGCAGCTGGTAGGAAAGGTCATAGGGAGGTAGAGTCTTCTACAGTGGTCCAGAGGGAGGTAATAATGCACCTAACTTAGCACGAGGCAAAGGTGATGGGGGAAACAGAGGCAGGATCCATTTCATGGATTTCATTTCAAAGGATTTGGGTTCAAATCCTAGCTCTTGCCTATTACCTGCTGGGTGATTTTGGCCAAGTTAATTTTCAGAGCCTCTGCTCTCATAGATGTAATATGACAATAATCATAACGCACTCTGTAGCTTTTAGCTGTGAAGCTTAAATGAGATGACATATGTAAAGCCTATGTTTAAAACCATGCCTGAAAGGCACAGATAAAAATCCTCAGTAAAGGTAGCTGCTAGTTATATTATTATTTGAGAGGAAGAATTGACCAAATTGGACGCCAAGATTGGTGCCAGAAAGGGACATGGGAAAAAGAAGATGTCTCCAGGAGGGATCACTAAAATGTCCTTACTGCTGCTCCATCAGGAATATTCTCTATGGAGTTACCTTGTAAGAAGCCATTCCATTACTTTTGAAGTTCAGCAGGCTGTGTCTTCCTGCAAGCCCCACAGTCGCGGAACCAGGTCTAGAAGGCAGGGTTTGGGTGCAGTGCTAGTCCACTGCGTGGTCTTTACTCCTCCACTAAAACATCTACGTCTGACAGGCTCTCGTTCTTCTGTTTCTTTGTTCTTTGCCACTGTCCCCAGAATCTGCTGTAAGGCATTCTTTGCGAAGTGTTAGCTCATTCGAAGCCCCTGACAACTTTGGGAGATAAATGATGGTGGTAAATGGTCATCTTATTTCTATTTATTATACCCCCCTTTCCAGACTGGAAAGCTAAGTCAGAACAAGAGTACATGTTCAAGGCACATGGCTAGCCTGGGGCAGATTGAGAAACCTCTGTCTCCAATACTAGTTATTTCTCCTATATTCCACAGCTTACCTTGTGGCTCATTTCTTTCCCTTTTACTTTACCACAGTGCTTTAAAAAGGTCTGCAGGCTGCTATAAAAAATGGTAATTTCTGCACACTAAGAGTGTGTGTTGCAGAAGATTATCCCGTGTGGATGGTAAACAGTGCCTTTTCAATTTCATGTGTCTGTGATGAATTTGGTATAAATCATGACCCAGACCAGAGCTATTCTATTGGAGCAAGTGAAAAAAAGGCATCTTCTGCTTTTATTTTTATAGAAAGTCTCTAAAATTATTCTCTGCTCTGTTTTGGGTGTATTTTTAAATGAGATTTTTAGGCCGGTTGACCTGTTTCTAACAGCGTTCTGGGTTAATCTGATTTTGGCAGGTGCCAAAGCGGAGCTGGGTGAGCGGGAGGTGGGAGGAGGGAAGGGCGAAGCTTGTCCTCTGCCGAGTATGAGATCCGGGCAGGTTGTTGCAGTAAGTGCGAGTTCCCTCCGTTGCAGATAACAGAAACCTGTTAGCTAAGGTGTCAAAAAGGAGTTTATCATCATGCCTTCCGGTTACCTCGTGCTACCCAGCCACTGGGACTGGCGCTCACTCTGGGACCTCCTTGCCTCCCACCTTGGCTCCTCTCTGCACCCAATCCCTTTGCACCGCCGCCTTCCCATCCCCCCTCCCTCTGGGATCCTCCACTCCTGCCATCCTCGTGGCAGAGAACCAGGATGCCAGCATCGCAGAATTCAAGCCAACTTCCTGGAGAACGGTTGGGGGTTCTTCTCTTTAAGTCCCAAGCCCCAGTTCCAGTCCTGCCTGGGCCAGTCACCAACCACAGACCCACTGAGTAATGGTGGCCACAGTCACACCTCGTGGGCCTGACACTGGGAGTCGTCACTGTCTCCATGGCGCCACAGGTAGGGAGGTGCTTCCCAGGAAAGGGGATGGCTGGGCGGATAGCCCAGTAGGCATGTCTTTGCCAATGTCCGCTGGGAATCAGGATGTTTTATTATATCCAACACCTGTGTGTTCTTACTTAATTCAAACAAAGCCAGCATTGTCTCCTTTAGATCACAGCACTCATATTGGCAATGGGCCTGGCCATAGATAAGGTCACTGAGGGAAAGAA